GACAGAAGGTGAAGCATGCAAACAAAATGTGACCCCCAAATTTCCTGAATTTCCCAAATGGGGCATCATAGACTCACAAAGATCTTTATCAAAATATCCCTTTTAAACAGGGGACAAGGCTGGACAATGTATGCCAGTTACTGTCAGATTCGCGTTAAAATATCAAACCTGTATTTCATTAACACCCAGATGAAAAGTATTATGAAGATGAGAATCAAGTTCACACTCATGTGTGATGTTGTTCCATTAAAAATATTTAAATATGCGCACAAGTGAAAGTATGAAAAATAGAGTTACAAAACAACTTGTTTTTGTATAAGATAACCTGCTTGCCTCAAATCGATCCTGTGTGTATCAATAGGCCTATTTACTACAATTATAATGTTGTTTTTATCTTTATTGATGTTCTTGTATTATCATTATGATTATTATTTACAGTATGCAACTTTCAAAACCTGAACTTTTTTTCAAAGCTTTGGGTACACAAAATGTAATATAAACTGTTTCTAAAACTTCTTGATACTCATGAAGAACTGGAAAACTGATCATTTTGGGACATAGAATGGTTAAGAACCAACATAGAATTAAGCCCAGAATGAAACCCAGAATTAAGCCCAGAATGAAACCCAGAATTAAGTTCAGAATGCAACCTTAAGCCCAGGATAAAACCTAGAAATAAGCCTAGAATGAAACCTACAGTAGCATTAAGCCTGGGATCAGACCCAGAATTAAGCCCAGGATCAAACCCACACTTAATCCCAAGTTCAAACCAGAATTAAGCCCAGGATGAAACTCATAATTAAGTCTAGGATTAAATCCAAAATTAAGTCCAGGATCAAAAACAGGCTTTAATCCCATGATCAAACCCAGACTTAATCCCAGGATCAAACCAGTATTAATCCCAGGATGAAACCCATAATTAGGTCTAGGATCAAATCCAGAATTAAGTTCAGGATCAAACCCAGACTTCAATTCCAGGATCAAACCCAGAATTAAGCCTAGAATCAAACTCATTTTTAAGCCTAGGATCAAACCCACAATTAAGCCCATGATCAAACCCAGACTTAATCCTAGGATCAAACCCAGATTTAAGCCTAGGATAAAACCAGAATTAAACCCAGATCACACCCAGTATTAAGCCAGGATCAAACACACCAATTGGAATTTACAGGCTACAGTACAGCTGCAATCTAACCACATAATTACAGCTCTACTCTAATTTCAAGTTATTGCACATGACTAATGCACGCAGATGACCTATTACATACTCTACAAAACTTTTTTTTGAAAGATTTAACTGATACAATGTTTAGATGTTAGAATCTCAGAGGAGTGTATGTCACAATTTCCTGTCATTTTAAGCATTTACGTACCATATTGACTGGTAATTGAAGATAAACACTTAAACTGTAATAAGTACAACCGACAGTACCACCTTGAGCAACCATTCTAATGGACCATAAACCATGTTACCGGATGATGAATAATGAACGGTGTTAAAGCGGTCTTTCCGTTTCATGTGTAGGCACTTGACGCCAGAAGTGTGTAACTCTATGATTTAGAAGTTTGGTGACAATCAAACTTGTCAAATTCTGACATGCAGTGATAATGGGAAGAATGATTGGATCACCTTAAATACCAATGGAATACTACTTTATGATTGATAATTACTAAATTCCTAAAAACAGGGATTAAAAACTGAAATGGAGTTATAGTTTGGTAAAAATTAATGTCTTCAATCTCAGAATCCTGAATTCAAATCCTGTCACACCCCCAGGATTTTTTTCTCTTAACTATTAACAGTTGCACTTTTAAGTCTCATTCAAAAAATAAAACAGAAAATTATGAAAGAATTGTTTACATTAACGTCCTTTTTTCCTTCAAAGATACAAAAAGGCAGAATGTGAGGAAACGTCATTCCAATTGATTGTTTTACAAGAATTAATTCATAATAATCGTATAGGCAATAAAAGCAGATTAAAGTATGCATTGATGTATAATTATCAGAGCTATTAGAAAAGAAGTGAAAAAGAATAGCAATGAAAATTAGATGTTGAATCGAGAAGGTTAGTGACATCAACTGAAGATAGTTTAAGCATCACACATTAAAAGTACTAATTCTACCTTGACAGATGACAAAATATCTGCCACTTTTCCGCTACCTAAAACTCTTTTACTAAAAATACATCAAATAATACATAACAAAACACAAACTTGAAAGTGTCAACATAGAATTTTTAATATGCACTGACAGAATTACTGAGAAAAGATAGCACTGCCCTTCAGAAAAATTTAAAATTCAAGGTGTTTTTACAAGAAAATTTTGTATTAGTTTGCAGAGGGAGAAAAACATTTAAAGACAAGATCTAGACAGTTTGGTGCCATTCCAGCAATTGCCCTTACTGTACTAACCACATTCAAATTTATGCTATATAGATAGTCATCAGTTCAACTACGGTAATTTGTAAAATGTTTCGGGAAAGATCTATGAAAGTTCAAGTCTTCCTTTCACCATCTAAAAAGTTAGAAATAAGTTAGAAATATTAACATCAACCTTATTTTTATTAGCCCTCAATCATTAAAACAACTATCTATTTTAAATCATTAGTATGGTTACAATTGCAGTAAACAACCCAGTTAAAAATCTACAGTATAATATTTTGTACATATAAGCCAGGATAATAATGATTTTAATCATAATAATTAATTGGTTAATTAATTACCCCTGTGTGTAGTTAAATGTCTAGTCAGGTCAGCATATAGAATATACCATTTCCTCAAAACATCTTACATTCTGATTTCAAAATTCATCTATTCAATAAAACAACTGTCCCCCAAATAAACTGTATTCACCCTTCTCCCCCCTTTCCTGTGCATAATGAATGTTTCTGTTATTGTAAATTACTATTAAAGATGTTCAATTTTACATAAACATTGAAATACAATTTTCAATTTTACTGTTTTTCTTAGTGCTAATTTATATTTGTGGGTTTCAAAAATCTCGCCACCAGCAAATTTATTAGTTTACTCACAGAATGTTTTCAGACATAAATTAACAGCTGTTTAGGGTAACATGTGTAAACTTTGTTTTTCTAAAGAAAAAAAAAACATGATAATTGGTTCCTATCTTCACTTAAATATATAAATTGCATTATCTATTTAATAGAACAAAGCGATTGATTTTGACAACATAGCCTTCCTAACAAAATGAAAGCAATGAAGGCACAATATGCCCCTTAATACCCATGTCCTTGATGCTTTAACCCATTTCAAACCCTTGTTTGATGTTGTTACAAAGACCCCTGGCCCATTACAGTACACTTAATAAACCTAATAATTGCAGTGAAAATCATAGACAGCAGCATGGCTCCAATCATTAGTCATTTTTTGGTTTTGAGTTTATAGTGGCATCAGGATTTGCCAGGAGGGTCAGATGTTCCTGATGTGAGGTCGTGTGTTCAATGAGAATGTAGAGGTACTGTAGGAACCAGGGACTGTACAGAACCCATCAGAGGGGGTTTAGGGATGGGGAGTACTGGAAGCTATTACAATTTAAGGATTTGAAAGGCTTATTAATTAATTTTAGAGTCTCACAATCTATAAAAATTTAGAATGTTCGTTCTCCTGCAACAAATTGTGTTTTTTTCTCTCCAGTGTGGAAAGGGGACCAGTTTTTCACACTGGCACCACCCTGTTTAGGGTTTGATTAATCAACCATGCAATTTACTTTGGCATCAGAATCAGAACTTGTTTGTTCAGTACAGGATGACATTTATAACATCACAACTGTTTGCATGCAATAAAAAAATCACATGTCTGGGTACTACGCCAGACCAACGTCGATGCTCCCAAACCTTGGTCCCAATTAGCCGGGAAATGATGTACTTCTGATTTTTAATGCTTTTTCTTCTAAACAAATTGAAACATAAAAACACAGGGAGCCAAACAGATTTCAATGAGGACAGTACAATACATGTAATGATCGGTGTCAAACAAAATACCACAAAAAAAATAATAAATCACTTTTTTTTAAAGTTCAAGATTATTAAATATAAACATAAGGAGAGAATTTTTAAGAAACTGTTTATAGCGAATTAAATTTTTTAAAGATCATCAGAGAAGGGTGGGAAAAAACAAAAATAAAAAAATAAAATTGTATTGATGAATGTAAAGAGTGTAGGTATAAGATTCCTTAATTATTAAGGAATACATATCTTATTTTTGGAAGTTTCAGGGGTGTGGAGGGCATAATAAAAATAAATAAAACATTTTTTTCTGAAATTTTCATTTTTTCATGCCGGATGGGTTCGCAAACTGCCAAAAATAAAATTTCATTTTTATTCGAAATTACCATTATTGTCAATTAGGAGTTGCTCAACAAGGTAGAAAAAAAGTCTTGTTTAACATGTTCTGCTCAGAACGGATCCAGAATTTTTCAAACGGGAGAGCACAACAGTTTCAGAATAGTTAAGTGAGTAGCACAAAACATTGATTTGCATTGAAATATTTAAAATTTAGTGGCAAAACGGGGCACGTGCTCCCCTACTGGATCCGCCCGTATTGCTAGAGCTAATAGTCTTCTGACCAATCCAACTACATTATGGGATTGTGAATAGTTTCAAGAGAGTTTTGGATAAACAGTCCAACTGATCAAAAAAAAAAAAAAATCACTTTAATTGGCTGTAAACTCCACCCACAAAACATCTGACTCTGTCTCTCACATAACTTCCAAGTTAATTAAAACTGCAAAATCTAATTATGTAATTTAAGAATAAACATGTACAAGTGTGAAAAGGTAACACTATGTCTTAGCCACAGACCTCATAAAGATAATCAGGCTCCTAAAATAAATTTGGCCTCTCACAAATTATTTTTATCAATCATTATCAAAACTGGTACAATGACAACTAACAGACAAAAATTCTTTTAAGCATGGGAGAGAGCCCTCAATCTGTTAACTTGCAATTAGTGGTTTCAGTAGTTGCCAATAAGATACTTACATCTGAGGTCTTCAGTCGAGAGCGTATCAAGCCATCTCGCTCTGTGATGAATTGTTGTCTTGTATCAACTTCCTCCACTTCTAGGTCCACTGAAATAATAAGCATATTTAGTAAGAACAAAACAAGTTTCAAATATTATTGTTTATCAACCAATACAGTACATAAAAAGAAACATCTGCAAGTTTAAAAAAATACTTTATTGGAAACACCAACACTTAATTACCTACATTTAGCTTTTCATTGAAAAAAAAATTGTAATGAAAAAAAATTGTTCTATTGTAACAAAAAATTTCACCAATGCAATTTTATTGCATGGTATGATGGGGCAAAACATATTTGTAGATGTAAATCTTGAATTATTGTTAGGGAGCAAACTTCTGCGGGCCATACATATGCAGGATCAAAGTAAAAAAATTATTGTTAATAATTTAGAACCAATATAATCCAGCAATTATTTACAGTAACCATAGAGATGGTAAGTGAATCACACCCCTACCACAAACACTGCAAGTTTGAGGAAATATTTTTGCACCCATCAGTAGGATAAAATATATTGAATTATATTAACTTCAATTTTAGATATTAAAATATACAGTACATATTTCGATATTGTAATTGCCAAAGTCAAAGATACTGTATTTCTGATTCTATCAGAATTCTTTGAAGGGAACACAGAGGGAATACTCTGGCAACCCTTGCAAAGGATGTCTACACAGAGCTTTCAATCAACTGATTGACAAAGTATGTCATCAATTAAATTTGTAACATAAAGTGTGTTTGGAAGGCGTTGTTCAACATGCGATTCGGTTCACTGAAAATGTGATAGATTACGACCAACAATGACAGAGAAGTTTGATATTTGAATTATCAATGCAATTTAGTTGCTGCAGAAATTGTCAACGGAAGAAACAGGGATCAATCAAGGCTGAGGCACATTTAACAAGAATGGAATCGGAATAAATTGGAATTGTCAAAAGCAATTAATGATAAAAAGCATCAACACAGCCATTAAAAGTTTAAGGTTTGTAATATTATTAAGAATTGAAAGGACACTGTCTATTACAAAGGTGTGGGTGGAAAATGCCTCTGTCAATAAACTGAAAGAAAAAACAGACATGGGGTGCAATATTATCATCAACCATCATCTTCATTGTGTAGAGAAAGCAAGTGGCATAGTGTGAATGCTTCAGGCTTTGAATTGAGAGGTTGACAGTTCGAGCCAAGTGCCTTGGGCAAGGCACCTAAGTTCGATTATTTTGCTCTCTTTTTTAACCTCATCTATCATCATATATTATTCATGATTTTCAACTTCAGCACCATTATAATCTCACTGTCCTCTTCATTCTAATTTCAATCAAAATGATTATCATCACCGTTAGGCCTAAAAAAAATGTTTGTGTTCCCTTTGATACTGAAAATTATATAAAAGGGGTGGGTGCAAAAAGTTTTTTTTTCTTCTGTCGCAAAAATTAACATATTAAATCGCAATGCTTGCAATTAAGCATGTCTCACTATTTATTTTTCAAAGGGTATTCATCACACTGAATAAAAATAACCGATAATCGATATTTTGCAATGAATTTAAGACTAGAATGGCGATACCTTACATCAGACACCAAATTTAGACAACTTTCATGCACAAAATGGAGAAAAATAAAGATCACTTTTTTAAATTTGTGAACAAAAAAACGGGGGAAAAAACCTTTTTTAAAAACACTGCCCCCAATTTTCAGTGAGCTAGGAGCGATCACTGGAGGGCAAACAAACAATTTTTTTTTTATTAAGGCCTTACCATCACCATTATCATCATAATTTTTATCACCACCATCTTCATCAATAATTCTCTTCATGACAATCCTCTTCATTACCATTCTCTTCATTAAAATTTTCTTAATCACCCGACTCTTCACTATACCATATTCTTCTACAGCCTTTCCGAAACCAACTCAATTCCCAAATCATAAGAGTAAAAATAAAGAGCTTGTGCAAAGGGGTAACAAGTTGAGTTTTGCTATTGAATATTGTCATCCCATTATCATACAAGAATTTATTCAATACAAATAAACATACCGTAGGAATCAAAAAGTGATTGTTATTAAAAATATAATGACATTATGATAAAAATATACAAAATTGATTATTAATTAAAAATAGACCAACTATAATGAAGTAGAAGCAAAGCAATTTAATGAAGTGATTATTATTACAAACAAATAACGTTTTCATTATAATTGTAGGATGTAAGAATTAAACAATAATTTTGGCGGAGTTGTCAAGCAAGTTGGTGGAAATTCATGAATTAGCAAATCGATTACTCACTATGGAAGATATAAGAAATCTAACGAGAACAAATAATTCATTTTATTGTGAGAATTTACTACAAAACGTAAATCAAAATATAACCTTTTCTTATAAAATTTCTTTAGTTTGCTAATATAATAACATTAATGTCAATATAATTCAATCTGAATTAGAAATATTTCAATTAGTAATTAATAACAAAATAATCAAGTTACTCCACCCTTTTCTTTGCTTTTTTCCCAGATACCTTTTTAAAACAATCTTATCTGACAGTTTCATGTCATTAACCTTCACAATTTTTTATGAAGCTTGCAATATATTTATTTATTTTCTAATCTATTGAAACATTTCCAGTAATCGAAACCCATGGTTCCATGATACAGTAATCAACTTCATCTGTAGAAGAATTAACAATGCTTTAAGCTGTTGACAATATCAAATTTTATGTGACAAATAAATGTGATATTCCCATATCTGGGTGTGATATGACATCATCATGCCCATTTATACATATCACACATATTTTGTCACATAAAATTTCATATTGTGGACAGAGGTATATAGAAAAAGCCTGAGTGAAAGCTTATAATTAATATTATTTTCATCCGGTTAAACTTGTTTTTTTTTCCCCCTTAACCAGATCATAAATGATGGTTAATTAACATATAGGTGTGCCAAGTTTAATGTGAGTCGCAATCCGAGTCTCCTGGGAAATCTCCTGCACTCTCATGAACTAAGCAAAATTAAACAAAAACTTAACTAATTTCCCGCAAAATTTGCATATTTCGACTACTATTTGTCTTCATGGAAGTCAGCTGGCCTCTTGGAAATGGCTTTTCCTAACTTGGGACTCCTACATATGACATCTAATAAGGAAATTTCCTACTTTCCACAGTTAATTCACTTTCTAACATCTTTCAAAAATAAATTTTATTCCATGTTTTAATTAAGGAATGTGCTAATTGAAAACTTTGTTTTCTAAGATATCAACAGAAGGCAATTTCTACACAGGATACAATTACAAAACTGAAAACGATGTTGCTAATTTCACTTGACTGTCGTACATGGGAAAATTATATGATCCGCATGGAATGTCTACATTAATTAAACACAATGCACTGAATCCTAGCAATGTGGGAAAGTACTAAACCAAGAAGCAGACATTTTTTCCTCGGGTGTGGCTCTTTTGTCAACTGCGGTGGAAGTAAGTCTTAACACTTTGTATTAATTGGTTGCTAACACAAGGAGTCATTACACTTTCTTGAAACATGTGGTGTAATTCTTATGTTTCCTATTATCATTAAGAGAATTAATCTATTCCTAACCTTATTTAATTATTTAGTAGGATGAGTATTAGGCCAGATAAAATTCATAGCTTCACATCCAGGATTTGTAATTACTTTTTGTTGAGGGTATTTACTAATTGCGATTTATAAACAGGCTGGTAAATGTAAAAAAATCTTATTTATTTAAAGAAAATTCAGTCTTTGATTTATATTCCACCTCTACTTACATTTTGACTAACAATCTTTCAGATTTCCTGATTATATTTATTTTCCATGAAAAAAAAAAAATTTAAATAGCAAATAGTATATTTTTTCATGTGAATTTTTACCAGTAGCTACAGGAAAATAATATTCCACATTGTTGCCTTTGCAAAGGCAAAAGGCATCACTCCTTGTTTGTTACCTACAGTAGTAGTTGTGAGTCTACTGTAACTATAATAAGTAAAAGGCTTCTGTTGACCATGCTGTATCAACTAAGGAACTTCCTATTTCTTGACCAGTAGCTATAGTAAAGATAGACTTTCTTTTCTGTTGACCAGATGACCTTCTTATTAAGTGACCTGTCTCTTATACACATCTAGATGTGTATAAGAGACAGGAGTGAAAGCTTATAATTAATATTATTTTCATCCGGTTAAACTTGTTTTTTTTTCCCCCTTAACCAGATCATAAATGATGGTTAATTAACATATAGGTGTGCCAAGTTTAATGTGAGTCGCAATCCGAGTCTCCTGGGAAATCTCCTGCACTCTCATGAACTAAGCAAACTTAAACAAAAACTAACTAATTTCCTGCAAAATTTGACTACTATTTGTCTTCATGGAAGTCAGCTGGCCTCTTGGAAATGGCTTTTCCTAACTTGGGACTCCTACATATGACATCTAATAAGGAAATTTCCTACTTTCCACAGTTAATTCACTTTCTAACATCTTTCAAAAATAAATTTTATTCCATGTTTTAATTAAGGAATGTGCTAATTGAAAACTTTGTTTTCTAAGATATCAACAGAAGGCAATTTCTACACAGGATACAATTACAAAACTGAAAACGATGTTGCTAATTTCACTTGACTGTCGTACATGGGAAAATTATATGATCCGCATGGAATGTCTACATTAATTAAACACAATGCACTGAATCCTAGCAATGTGGGAAAGTACTAAACCAAGAAGCAGACATTTTTTCCTCGGGTGTGGCTCTTTTGTCAACTGCGGTGGAAGTAAGTCTTAACACTTTGTATTAATTGGTTGCTAACACAAGGAGTCATTACACTTTCTTGAAACATGTGGTGTAATTCTTATGTTTCCTATTATCATTAAGAGAATTAATCTATTCCTAACCTTATTTAATTATTTAGTAGGATGAGTATTAGGCCAGATAAAATTCATAGCTTCACATCCAGGATTTGTAATTACTTTTTGTTGAGGGTATTTACTAATTGCGATTTATAAACAGGCTGGTAAATGTAAAAAAATGTTATTTATTTAAAGAAAATTCAGTCT